GTCCCTGCTGATCTGAAAGATCTGCTTTGACAAAGCAGTAGAAAGAAAGAGGCAACTTTTGTCTAGGCAGCCACCGGGAACAAAGAGAAGAAGAAAAACAAGTGGAAAAGCCACCTTAGTGCCCATCACAGCCTGTTCAAGTGCCCAACTTCTCCAGGCAGAGGCCAGGGTGCCTCACAAAGCTCCTCCTCCTGCACAGTGCTTTGCCTCCTGCCCACTGAATCATGGCCTGGTGCCCTATCCTCTGTAAACCCCCTCTTCCTTTGTATTTTTTAGGTTGGTTATCAAGCTGGGAGTAACGGACAGCCGCTGCCCTCTCAGTACATGAATGACCTGGACAGTGCCTTAGTTCCAGTGATTCATGGAGGGGCATGTCAGTTGAGCGAGGGTCCAGTCATAATGGAGCTCATCTTTTATATTCTGGAGAACATCTCATAAGAGGACTTCATTTTCTGTTCAGACCTGTTCCAGCAGCAGTTGTATCTGAATCATTTGCACTTTAAAACTGGAAAATTAAGCTTTTGTTAACACTATGGGGGGGTGGGAGGGACAGTTGTTCCATAATTCTAAATCTTCTATGCATTGTCAACAAACAGAGGATCAGGGCAGCTTCTATACTACAACATGGCTATGCTATCCTTGCAGCTAATACACTTCTGTTACCGTTTAGAAAAATGCTTATGTTTAAAGACTTACAGTCATGTACTCTAAATGCTCAAACGAGTGCAAAGATCACTGGGGCGTAAATAAAAAGTGAAACTCCAATCTTGTACTGTTTGTAGATGGACATGTAAGAAACAACAATCAAGACCTCCATTCTGACCTCATCATAATGCCGTGTTTGGTTATTCTGTAGACATTAAAAAGTAACGTTTACATTATTTTGACCAGATTATTGGTTGAAATATGTTTGGAGTAGCCCTTGAGAGATATGGAAAGATTACCTAGCCATAACTACATTTGTGTATGTGTCCAAATGAGCAGAAGGGCAGGCATCTCTCAAAGCGGTATTATGTAAACTGCAGTTTTGTGTGTGTAATAGGCTAGTTTACTTATTTTCCTCTATTTACTATAAAAACCCATCACCTCAGCAGATTTCTATAATATCTCCTAGAACAACTCTGCTATTCTGTACTTTGTTTACAAATCTGTATGAAGCAGAGGAAATATTAGCCCTAAAGTGCAGTTATATCTCATTCCTCTTCCCCAGTAGGTCCCGCTTTTTAAAGAAAAGTAAAACCCAGGGCAGCTTTAAGTCTCCTCCTTGCTGTATGCTGTAGTGAAACGCTAGTGTCACGTAATACAAGACAGCTTGCACTTCATATTAGCAGCACCATGTAAAAGCTTACCTGTGAAAAAAGTATAGAGTGGCTGTTTTTGCATGTTCTGCTGAAAAAGGCTTTCTGGTCAGCTCTGAACACTTGCACTTGGCCCAGTGCTCTCGGTCTCACCTCTGAGAGGGCTCAAGTAAGGAAAGCAGTGGCTCCCCTCTGCTGCCACCACATTGCAAAGCTGGAATTGAGAATCAGCCAGAGGAAACGTGGTTCCACCTGCGTATTGTCCTCATGGAAAGCTGCTAACCAGCAGAAAGAGCTGGAAGCAGAAGGGGCTTGGTTTGTTTAGCCATAGCCATGCAGAGCAGCTGTTTTGAGTCCTTTCCCCCCCAGGAAGGGGGGCAAATGTTCCTCCTCCTGTCTATACAGAAAGTTAACTTGGGAAGAGAGGGGCTAATTTACGGTGAATGCAGTATCTCAGACATGGCATGGTCCCTGCTCGCAGTCAGTTCTGGGGGATGCAGCAGGGATTACTTTGGTTTTGCTGTACGTAACGCAGGCATCCTTTCACATATAAAGGGAAGTGCAAGGCTACTGTGAGACTGATGCTATATTTTTTTAAACAAACATGCAGCATTAGCTGGGCAAAGGAAAAGGTAACCGTACACATAGCAATGTATTTTATGTAAAGACAGCACAGTATACGTACAGACTGCATTTGTGAATAAATGGCTACTGCTTTTTTAAAAAAAAGTTTGACAAATCCAATATTGCAAGTTGCAGCTGTCACCACCCAGCATCTGGAGAAGGCAGGTGAGAGGACTAAGGTCCAACTCCAGAGATAAAAGCTGGCCAGCACGAGGTAGCACCCTACTGCAACTGAATGGGGTAAGTGTTGCAGCAAGGTGAAACCTTACCTCTGGCATTTGGGAAGAGGTGGCTGGCTGAATGCAGCTTACTTCATGTTTCACGAACGACAAACCTTAAGCTGTTACACAATCACTAGCCTTCCTATGTATTTTTGCAGCAGAGCAGGACCAAGGTTACTTTCAGACTCCCCTCTGCAGGCTGTTTTTGCACACTTTGGGACACAGCGCAGCACTACGCCGTGTAGGCAAGATTCAGTATCTGGAAGAGCATTCCATGAACTAAGTAAGCATCTTCCTTCTAGAGCCTGCACTCCAGCTTTGCCACAGCAGCAGCTTTCCAGTTACTTTAGTTGCATTGTTACGCTTAATAATGCGGTAAAAGAGGTGAAAATCTTTATCTTCTCTTCCTTTGCCCCAAAAATCTTTTAGGTTTTGATTATGTTTGTGCAAAACACTATCAACTGGTGACTGACATGTTTGCTTCAACCATAGCCTTTTAAATGACCTTAATTACCATGTTGTTAAGAAATGAGTACTTGTTTTAGAAAAAAAAATGTACTTTTAAAATTCAGTTAGTTAACACTGCAAAAAACTGCATATTATATTTTTATTTTCAACATGTAGTTTTGTATATTAAATTTATTGAAATTAAAAACTAAACACTGTATTGTCTTCATCTGCTCAGGAAGACACAGGCAGCGCTGCCTTACTTGTCTGGACTCTTTTCTGTCTACAAACTGGCCTGACCTAAGCAGCTGGTGCAGGAGCGCTCCAACTCCCCAGTGCAGAGACAGCCTCTCCTCTGAGATCAGTCGTTTCTCTTAGCTCACAGAGATTTAAAAACACAAATGTATTTGGTACCATTTTTTGTATGCTGTGGATCAAAAGCATTCCTGAAAAGAGTCATAATCCAGTTTTCTACATGACAAAGAGTGGCTATTTTCCCCATCACCTGGAAGAACGGTAAAAGCCTATTTTTGTAAAAATACAAGGAACATTTGGGATGCAGCAGTCTCTAGCGTACTTTTTTTCCCCCCTCCTTATTTAAATTAAAAAAAAAAGAAAAAGGATGAAGGCACAGTACCGAGGCTGCACAGAACAAGCGGTGCAGCAAGCATGGCAGACAACTGGTAGCCAGAACAACACTGCAGAGCTGTAAACACCTGCTGCTAAGAAGTCTTGCATTCTTTCCTTCTGAAAGGCAACATCCCATTGAACTTCACGTTACAATGGCATGCACAGAGAAGGGACATGGTGCCATGAGGTTGCTGTCTCAGTTCTCCTCTATTTTAGGAAACACAAAAAAACCAAACAGGCCTTGGTAAGAGAGAAGAGAAAAAGCGGTAGCAGAGTGTTCACTGTACCACATTGGCTGCGTGTACACTTGAAAAAATTAATTCTAGTAAAGGTCTTACCTGTGACTTGACTGAAAATTTTCTGCACTGCCTCAGGGAATTTTTAAGGGGCTAAACTTTCCACATACCACTATGCATAGTTAATGGAACATTCGTCCTGGTGCTACATCAGTAGTCCCACGTTAAGGCAATTCTGTCTATTTTGTGTAGACTAGTAACAATCCCCTGCAGCAGCAAATTCCCAGCGTCTTACATTTTGCCTTAAAGTTATTAATAAGCACTATGGCTGTTACTAAAATAGACATTAGGTTCAGTAGTGCATTCATTTAACATCTTTGGTGCTCGCAGCTAGCAGCATCTTTCTACATACGCTCATCCCACATCTTTTACCATTCCGATGGATCTGGGGAAAACAAACAACAACAAAATTACTTGATGCAGTACTTAACAGATGTTCACAATTCAAGGTCATATTATATGTAAAATGCTGACATGAATTTTCTGGATGGTCAACTAGAAAAATCAATGGAGCAAAATGATTAAGCATTTTCAATCACGAGAGCTTAGGTGTCCAGTCACAGCACAAGGCCAGGTTGTTACTTCAGTCACGGCCATCAAACGTGTCCCTCACAGCCCCACTGAAGCTCACGGGCAGCTCGCTGACCTCCTTGGCTGTGAGGAAGATATCGCGAGACAAACGGTCCCTCTGGTGCTACAAATTCAGACTGGTGTGTTGAAACAAGAACTCTCAATCTGCAAAATCTAACACAATTTGGAAGCAAAGGTGTGGCAAAAGGGGGCTGTTGCTATGAAGCTGATGAACATTAGCTTAACTGCCATTTATAAATGCAAAGGAAAACAATATGCCAAGGAAGAGGGAGCACAGAGACTTCAGGAGCTCAAGCAAAGGAAGAGGGATTACTTACTAGAAACTCTGTATTTATACATCATCTGTTGTCCATGAAAAAAGGTGGGGTTTGTTCTGTGCTGGTATAGCAAGGTCACAGTCCAAGAGGAGGGTTCTACATGCTCTCACAGTACAATAAATACCTGCTCAGAAGTGATCAGCACAGTTGCACCCCTGCCAATAATGCCCTATGACTGCAGGCAGTTTGCACGCGCACCAAAGGGAGAACTGACTGTCCCTAGCGAGTCGGTGTCCTCTCCGTGGTTTTACGAACATAAGCTGCAGGAGAAGCGAGGACCTAAGTTTCAGGCTATCAGTGATTGTGTCCAGCTAATCTGAATTTCTTACAAACATTGGACACAAACATAAAAGCAGGCTGAATTAGAAATTCCACAGACAGATGGACTTCTGGAACTTACCCTTCAGTAACTTTATATAGAAAATCACTTTAAAAAAAACCACCAGAATTTTTGGTATTTATTTGCTTTTCATTTTTTTAAGAAGGAAGAATCTGTGATACCTAAAAAGCATAGTATGAGAAAGGAAGACGAGCTCCAAAACCAAGCAGTTTCCATAGAGACTTGGCAAGAAGAGGGAGCCTACCTCTTTTTCATCCTTCTAATATACAGCCACTTTGGCAGCACACAGCTCTTCTCTACTCAGTAAGAGCAGAGCAGGCACCAGGCGCAGTTCTTCAGGTAGCCTGCACGCAACTGTACAGTTTCTCCCAGCCCAGAAGTCTCAAGTATCCAGAAGAAAGCCTATCTCCTGTAGCTTTCCTTTCAGATGAAGTCAAGCAGGCTTTCATGGGACAAATGAATGCCCTTCTCTAGCTTCTGGTAGGGGAAGAAGGGTCCTTGCTAACTCTGAAAGGTTTTTTGCTAACAGTAAGGATGGACAGAAAGCACCCTCCCTCCTAGAAAGGATTCTTCAATCTTATTTATTTTCTAAATAATATTCTAAATAAAGGTGATGCTTGAAGCTCTCCCTGTATTTCAAGTGACCGTAACACAGCATCTTTGATATACAAACTAATCAGAGATTCTGTAACCTCATTTCTGAAATTATGTCAACTCACCGCTACAAATATGAAGAGGAACAGTATCAAAGCCAGAGCTATGTAATTAGGTCAATGTCAACAAAAGACATTTTTCAAACAGAGTTTATCTGTAGCCGAGTCAAGTTCTGGCCAGACCATCTTTAGACGCAGTATTCATACCTCAGATAGGAACTAATGTTCAAGGACCAGCCAATTTTCTGTAATTGTTTGAAGATCTTGACCACTGAGGGGCTCCCTGAGTCTCACTTTGACCTCCAGTTTCCCTCCAGTGGGCTTTC